ACTGCAGCGGGCTGCTCTCAAGCCCCCTGGCCTGTGGTCTACCCTGGGAGGATCAGGGGCTGGGGGGGGGGGAGCATCTTCCTGGTAACTAGGCAATTGCTGTTACTACCGCTACATTTTTTGTATTTTTCTTTTTCTAGGAAATTTACCAAGTTTTGGCGCAGGGGTTTACATTTCCCACCTCCTTAGCAAAAGCTTTCACCATTCAAGCTCCAAATGGCAGCCACGAGGCTGTAATTACACCAGCATTAGCTCAGGACTGTGCTGAGAGGGGTGGGCCGAGCAGCTGGGGATGGGAAAGCAGCCGGGGCCCCAATTAGCCGCTGTTCCCTCTGCGGCTGTCACCCTACTCCCTTCCGGGGTCCCTCTCATTCTTGCTCTCCTCCGCCTGGGCCCCAGGCTACTTCCTGACAGGTGGAGGAACAGCCAGCTGGTGGGGGAGCCCTCCCATAGAGGCAGTGGCACCAGAGTAGCCTTTGTGTGGACGGGGTCCTCGGGTCCTTGCTTGGCCGGGGCAGAATGCTTTGGCAGCAGCTCATGACCGGCCTGGGAGGCCACACACCCTACTGTGGCCAAGAAGCCCTCGCTTGGCTCTTTAGCGTCATCTCTTGTGGTCCCTCTTTCAGTTTCTACCTCCAGGCACGCTGAATTGCTATCCGCTCCTCCCAGGCTGGCCCTGCTCTTCCCTCTGCCTGGGGCCCCTTTCTATCTTTCTGCCTCCTCTGACGCATCCTGTAGGTTTCAGCAGAAGTGTCACTGCTTCCATGACCCCATCTGGGCAGGATCCCTCCCTCTCTGCTCCCACAGCACCCCACCTCCCCGACCCACAGGGGCCTCTGGGGGAGGCATGGGGGAGGCCCTCAGGAAAGGTCTGGTAATGGAGTGAGTGAGGAAACAAACCTTGATTCCCTTTCTGCCTTAATTCCCCTTTCATTTTTACGACGAGAAGAGGGAGCGCTCCTCTTTCTGCCTCTGTAGGGCTGCTGTTGGCCAGGCAGGGTGCTGGGGTGATGGCTCAGTCTCCGTTGGGCCGGGCCCCGCCTGAGGCTGGTTGGACGTGGTCTTGTGCTGGCCGCTGTTGCAGCTCTGTGCTGGTGTGGCTTCCTCGGTGAGATTATCCAGCGTTTTTGAGCACGTGTCGTGAACTAGACACTGTTCTAAGTGTACTTATTCTTTCACTCATCAAATGCTTATTAATCACCCACCATGCACCAGACGCTGGGAGCTATGGGCACAGCAGTGAGCACAACCAACAAAGGCCCTGCCATCATGCTGCTTACATGTGATACAAACAAACCAATGGGCAGGTGAGTATACATTATGGCAGATGGTGATGGGTGCCGTGGGGAGTAGAGGTCAGAATAGGGGGTAAAGTGTTGTTATTATGTATAGGGTGGTCAGGAAGGACTACGGACAAGGTGAAATTTGAGCAGAGACATGAAAGAAGTGAGGAAAGGAGCCATGTGGTCATGGAGTGGGGGAGAGCTTTCCAGGCAGAAGAGGCAGCAAGTGCAAAGGCCCTGAGTTCAGGGCATGTTCCAGGAAGAGCAAGGAGGCCAATGTGGCTGGAATGGAGTAAGTAAGCGTGGGGAAGGAGTAGGAGGTGAGGTCATAGAGAGCAGTGTTGGCTAATAGAAATATGATATGAATCACCTATGTAATTCTGAGTTTTCTCGTACCACATTAAGAAAGAGGGGCTGGCCCAGTGGTGTAGTGGTTAAGTTTGTGTGCTCCGCTTTGAGTTTCTGGGTTTCAGATCCTAGGCATGGACCTATGCACCGCTCATCAAGCCATGCTGTGGCGGCAGGTCACGTACAAAACAGAGGAAGACTGGTGTAGATGTTAGCTCAGGGCCAATCTTCCTCACCAAAAAAAAAAAAAAAAAAAAAAAGTAAAAAGAAGCAAGCAAATTAATTTGGTAATAATTTTTTTCTTAAAGATTGGTACCTAAGCTAACATCTCTTGCCTATCTTCTTTTTTTTCTTTTTCCTTCTTGTTCTCCCCAAAGCCTCCCAGTACGTAGTTGTATATTCTAGCTGTAGGTCCTTCTAGTTGTGGTTTGTGGGACGCCGCCTCTGCATGGCCTGATAAGCCATGCCATGTCCGTGCCCAGGATGCGAACCTGCAAAACCCTGGGCTGCCACAGTGGAGCGTGCAAACTTAACAGCTCAGCCAGAGGGCCGGCCCCTACAATACGTTCGTTTAACACAGTATTTCTAAAATGTTATTGCTTCAACATGTAATAAAAGTTAAAAATTATTAATGAAATGCTTATATTATTATTTTTTCTTATTAAGTTTTCACAGCCTGGTGTGTCTTTTCAAGATCTGGTGTGGGCATCTCATTTTGAGCTGGGCACACTTCAAGTTCAGCGGCCGTGTGTGGCTAGTGGCTCCCATATTGGTCAGCACAGACGCAGCTCCTCCCTCGCAGGCCGTGCCTCAGCCTCTGAACGAGACGGGAGCCGATGGAAGTTTTGGGGCCCAGGAGTGTTACCTCTGTGCCTTCGGTGCCAGCAGGCTTGCTCCAGCTGTGATGAGAGGACGGTTTTGGGTGGGGATGGAGTGCGGTGGGCGCAAGGCAGGGCAGGGCGACTGGGAGGGAAGCTGTCCCCAGTGCGCAGGACGGCGGCTTGGACCGCGGCTGTGGCAGCGGTGGCAGTGGGCAGCGGTTGGATTCTGGATGTGCTTTGAAGGTAGAATGGCCAGGTTTTTGGATGGGGCGTGTGAATGAGAGGAGTCCAGGAAGCCCCAGGATTTCCGGCCTGAGCTCCTGGCAGGGTGCGGTTGTTGTCACAGGGGCGAGGAAGACGGGGCGCCGCCTGGGGGAGCCGCGTGGGATTGGCTTTGGGCCGGTCAAGGTTGGGATGCGGCGTCAGCCTTCCCGGTGGGGCTGGCAAGCAGGCAGTGGGACACATGAGTCTGGGGTTCAGGGGGAGGGCTGGGCGGGGAGTCGACAGCTCACTGATGCGTTTAAGGCCGTGGGGTGAGCCGAGGGCCCTGGGGAGGGGTGCCTGTAGGGAATAGGGAGCTGGGCCCTGGTGGGGAAGATGGACCCAGCAAAGCAGGCTGAGAAGGAGGGGGCAGGGGGCAGAAGGGAGAGGGGGCCGTGAGGAGGGGCCAGAGGGGCCACCAGCTGTGTCCAGTGCTGCTGATGGGCTGAGGAAGTGGAGGCCCCCAGGGTCCCTGACCACTGACGGGGCAGGTAGATGGGAGAGCACGGAAGGGGAGAAAGAGGCGGCTGTGTAGATGACTTGTTTGAGGGGTTTTGCCTTAAAGGGGAGCAGAAAGATAGAGAGGCAGCTTAGTGGGGGTGTATGGTCACAAGGGGGCTTTCTCCCTTAAAGGTGGGCGATGTAATGGCTGAGGGGCATGAGCCAGTACGTGGCAAAGCTGTCATGCAGGAGAGAGAAAAATGAGTTATCTCATTCGTGCCCTCAACAATGCTGCGCAGTAGGCACTCTTTTGTAGACGGGGACACTGAGGCCAAGCGAGGTGCAGTCACTTGCCCAAGGCCACACAGCTAAGTAGTAGTGGGGCCGAGTGGCACGCAGATGCTTCAGTTCTGAACACCCAGTCTGCACCGCTGTGCTCTTCTGCCCCCTGGTTCTCAGCTGGATTCGTGAGCTCCTCCAGAACGGGCTCCTCTCATACTTCTCTGTCCAGCACAGCCCCTCACAGAGGGGGGACTCCATAGATCTTTAGTGACCAAGACAGCAGGACACCGGGAACCGTGCTGGAGAGGCCCGGGCGCCAGGGCTAGCCGTGGTGGGGGGGTGCCCGGCATCCGCACACTGCACCCCGGGTCCTTCCCACTGCCTGGGGCCTCCCCTGGAGCGGGGGTGCTGAGTGAATATTGGGAAGCACCTGTTGGGTGGATGAGCAACAAGTGAAAATGCTCTGGCTCCTCGTAAAGCCTCACCCGATGCTCTCCCTGGCGTACTGTGGTGCTGGTGTGTCCTGGGCTCCTGCTCTGTGTGCTGCCAGCGCGCTGGGGGACCTTGGGCAAGCCCCTTGCCCATCAGCGCCTCAGTTTCCTTCTCTGTGAAATAAAGTGGTGGGTTAGATGATCTGCCATCGGCTCTCACCAGAATGTCTCAGGGCGCATGTGCATGCTGGGGTCCTGCCTCCCACCCTGTCTATCATCAGGATGGGCCGGAGACGCTCTACAGCTGGGAGTCGCTGGCAGTGGAGGCCCTGTGCTGTGTGTTCACCTCAGAACAGCTGAGACTTGTGGGGTGGGGCAGTCCCTACAGAGGGAACCTGATGGTCCCCAGGAATCCTGCTTTGTGCCCAAGACGGTCCACTCCATGGACAGTGGCACAAAGTTCAAAGCCATGGCAGTGAAGCCAGGGTCCCAGCATCCAGCACAGCTACCCTCTGGTCGTTCTGTGCTAGGCCCTGTTCAGTCCTGGCCCCAGCTCACGCTGCCGGGGCCCCCAGCCTGGAGCTTCCTGTAAGGGTCTCTACACTAACTAGTGGCAATAGCCCTCCATCCCCAGGCATTCTGAAATGTGTGGGGACAGTTTCACGGTCACAGCAGTGGGGGTGGGGATGGTGGCAGTGGGCTGCTGAAGGTTCCACGATGGGAGTTGTCCCTTCCCAAGTGTCAGCAGTGCCCCTAACGAGAAGGCCTGCTCCAGCGTGCTGCTGCTGCACGCTCAGCTGCCACCCCATTGTGGGATCTTGAGCCAGTGGCTTTATCTCCCCATTTCCCACACCTGTGAGCAGGGCCATGGACGCCGAGTTGCTTGCCCCTTGTGATAAGGTTTCAACAAGACTTTGGATTAACAATCCTCATCAGAATAGGTCATCACATGTGCAGCTTCCTCTCACCAGGCGCTGCCCCACATGCCTTCTGGACCCTCATACAGCCTTAGGAGCTGGGCCTGTTGGGTGGTCCGCAGGGGAGGACGCCAGCGCAGAGTGCACTGAGCATGCGCGGGGGGCGCTCTCCCGGTGCCCCGCGGGCTCTGACCTCTCTCTCTCTCCCTGCTCCAGGGACAGGGGCAGACCCGGCCGTCAGCGCCAGGAGCAACCACTGCCTGGACGCCGCCAAGGCCTGCAACCTGAACGACAACTGCAAGAAGCTGCGCTCCTCCTACATCTCCATCTGCAACCGCGAGGTCTCGCCCGCCGAGCCCTGCAACCGCCGCAGGTGCCACAAGGCGCTGCGCCAGTTTTTCGACCGCGTGCCCCGCGAGTACACCTACCGCATGCTCTTCTGCTCCTGCCAGGACCAGGCATGCGCCGAGCGCCGCCGGCAGACCATCCTGCCCAGCTGCTCCTACGAGGACAAGGAGAAGCCCAACTGCCTGGACCTCCGCGGCGTGTGCCGCGCCGACCACCTGTGCCGGTAAGGGCACCGCGCGGCCAGCGGGTCGCAGGCGTTCCTTCCCTGAGTCCCCTGGCCCGTGGGTTATGGTCCTGAGCCGGGCAAAGAGGGTGGCCGGACGTGTGCAGAACGCGCTGCCGTCCGTCCCTTCATTCAGCACAGGCTTATTGTTTGCCTGCTGCGTGCTCAGCCTCCTGCTAAGCACATGGGGAGGCCAAGAGGAGCAAGCCAAGGAGCTTTGATTTAAATTCCTAGAGCCGGAGAGCCTGGAACAAGAGGGACCATTGGTGAATTTAGTCCCACGTCTACAGGAAGCCCCCCACCTAATATCCCAATGAGGTCACCTGGCAGTCCTGAAAGGGCTCTCGGAAATCACCAGGCAGCTCCTCCACACCCAGAGCTGAGCCAGTCCAGTGTTGGGGTGGAGTGTGGGTCTGGAGTCTGACCGTCCTGGGTTTGAATCCTGACTTTTCCGTTTTCTAGCTCTGTGACTTGGAGCAGGTTTTTAAAATTTCCTGAGTCCTGTCCCTTTACCTGCAAAACAGGAGTGAAAATACCCACATCACAGGGTTATTGTGAGGATTAGGTGACATAACGTGGGTCTGAAGCTTAGCACAGAGCCTGTCTTATAGTAATGCTCAATAGATGGAGACTGATTATTAGGAAGGTGTTTTTTTTCTTTGCTACAGTGAGTTGAAATTCGCCTCTTTGTAATTTCATGTTTTTGCTGTTTGTGTGGTTAAGCATTTATCAAGTCCCTCTTGCATCCAGCGCTCAGTTCCAAGGCTGGTGTGCAGAGGTGAATTGATGCTCTCTGAGGAGCACCCAGTCCAGAAGGGGAGACAGACAAGGAGAGCAGTGGTCCCAGTGCAGTGAGATGGGGGCTGCAGGCTCCCAGGGGAGGGAGCCCAGGGGAGGGCCGTCTGCCTTGGCCTAGGGGTCCAGAGGAGAGGCCTTGAGCTGAGCCATGGGAAATGAGAAGGAGAAAGCTGGGGAAGGAGCCAGCAGAAAAGCACGGGAGAAGGCTGGAGGGTAGGCGAGAGGCTGGGCTTGTGGGCAGCTGCAGGTGGGGGCCGTGAGGTGGGGAGGCCAGAGGTGAGGCTGCCGGAGGAACAGATCGCAGTGGGGCAGAGATTCAGATGTTGCTCACTGCATGCCCGATGCTGGTCTGTTACATGGTTTGTCCCATTTCCTCTTTGCAGCAAGCCCACGACGAAGTAGGCACTGTTAGGATCTTTATCTGCCAAATGAGGACATAGAGACATAGAAAGGGACTTGCCTAAGGTCACCCCGCCCATACATTTCAGAGCTGGGACCTGGTCCCTTCTGCTTTCTTTCCAGTAGAGCATACTGGCCTGGGCTAAGAGACTGGCTGTGGGGATGGAGGGAAGTGTGTCATTTCAGAGGTGAGTGGTAAGTAGACTTGTCAGGACTGGATGACTGGCTGAAAGGTCCCTGGAGGCAAAAGCCATTTCTGTCTTGTTTACTGCACACCTCGTCCTGCTCCTCGAGCCTGGCGTGTGGCGAGTGCTCCACAGACGTTACCTGAGCGGATAACTGAATGGTGGCCGCCATGTTTCCTAGGCGAATAACTGTGGGGCGACGAAAGCATTCGGTTGGGGGTGTTGGATGGGCAACATTTGAGGTGCCTGGGGGGCTGTGCCATGCCGACGGCAGTGTCGGGGGGCGCTTGGACTTGTGGAATCCTGGCAGGGCAGCTCGGCCAGAGCCTTCCTCGCCTGGCACTCCGTGAGAGCGAGTCTGTTGCCGGGCTGTGCGGCACGCCCCATGGCAGGCTCGTGCATCCCTGGTGCTGTGTGATGTTTAACAGGCTCGGCTGTGCTGTCTGATGAACTGTCGCCGATGACAAGGGGCAGGGGTTTGAAGCAGGCTTCGGTTAAGCAGGGATAGCTGCCTGCTGGGCCCGGGGTGTTGGAAGCCCTGTGAACTCTTCCCCGCCTGCCCTTTGGACCCGGGTCCGTGGGGGGAGCGTGGAGGCCCCTGCTCCAGCCGCGCTTCCAGCTGCTCTTGAAGCTGAATCTGCACCTGGACCCGGCGTGCAGGCCCTGCCTTTCGTCCTTGTCCAGGTCACACCCACAAGCCTCAGGACTGTGGGCTCAAGACCAGGCGGGGCTTTTCCTTTGAAAGCCGTTTGATACGGAGTCTGGAAAGCCCGGAGAATCTCTTGGAATGAATCTGTAGAATTTGGCTGAATTCTCTCACCCTAGCCTTGCAATGAACAAGGAGCTACTTTTTTTTTTTTTCTTGTTAAACAAAATCTTTTAGTTTCTACTCTCTCAGCGTATACTCATTGCAAGGATGGTACGGATTGTGTGGGTGTGGTGTGGTTGTGGGGTTGTGGGGAGGATAATTCTGTTGTCCTGTAAACCGTCTGGAAGAGGCCCTCTGAAATGCCCTGCTCTTCTCGCTCTGCCAAGAGGATATAAATAACTCCACGCTGGCCCCGTGCCATAGCCTGGGCTGCAGTCTAACCTCTGGGTGCTGAGGCTGTGTATAAATAGATTCTAGCCTGGGGCTTCCCTGGCTGCCTCGGCCCCTTCAGGCAGTGGATACTGTCCTTGTCCCAGAGGATTGCTGGGAAGGCAGAGGGGTGGGGCCTCCCCTCCCTTAAGACTGTCTGCAGAGATGGGGGAGGAGTCCCTTCGGCAGAGCCCCCCTCTTGCCTAGCTTGGGGCATACTTAGTGTCTGCAGGCAGTGTGGATGGAGAGGTCTGGGTTTCACTCTTGGCTCCTTGGGTTGTCCCCCAGCTTCTTTTGGACTCTCTGTAGGATCTGTTGGCTCCTGTTTGTAGTGAGTTACCTCTAAATGGCAGGAAATGATTATTTGCGTAGGGGTGGACGGGCTGTGGGGCTTCCAAGCATTCACTTCTTCTATAGGAGAGGTCTTGAATGTCTTGAAATCACATGCCAAGTTTCATGTGTATATTCTAGAGGGAAACTTGTTGTTTTCAGTGGGTTCTCAAAGGGTTCCTTGACCTCCCAAATCTTGAGAACCTCTGCCTTCTGTTGAGGACCAACTTGGGTGGGCTGCCTGGACGTTTGTGAATGTGCCTCCTGGCTCCGTAGAGAAGAGGGCTGTGATTGATTAGTGATGCCTGCCATGGGCAAGGGAGGGGCAGAATGGATGGCCTGGTGGAATCCAGCCAGTCATTCCTGGGGCCAGTGGGTCACGGATAACAGGAGGAATGGGGTCTTGGGGCCATTCCTTTATTCATTTATTGACAACTGTTTATTGATCTCCACTCTGGGCTAGGCCCTGTGTTGGGACTGGATAGTTAATGAAGTAGGCAGAGGTCCTTGCCCTCAGGGTGCTTACAGTCTACTGACAGGACACTGTTTATCGCCTCTGCAATGGGAATAGAGCCGCACAATAAACTCGGTGATAGCGTTTCCACTCAAGTTCTCTTGAAACCCCACTTCTACTCTGCTGCCTACCAGGTCTTCCCTGGGTCACTCTGGTGGCACTGGAGAGCAGCCCCTTCTTGGTGAGATGAGCCACAGACGGATGAGCCTCACTCAGGGGCCTGCCTGATCTTGAGCAGAGCTCAGAGCCCAGCAGTCCCATCCATCCTCAGAGCCAGGCTGTGCCCAGGGGTGCCACGGGGTGAAGAAGTCACTGTCTTCCTGAAGAAAAGCTAACTAGCAAGATTGCCAGTGGAGAGAGACTCTCTGTGTGCCGAGGTGCCGTGGGATCCTCAGCCCTGCCAGAGATTCTGAGGCCCATCTGCCCCTTGGGGATCCCATGCTGGCTCCTGCTGCTGGCCCCTGTAGGCACCCTGCTCAACCGTGAGCTCTGGGCCATGGGTGCCCAAATGACTCTTCCTGGAATTTCCTGTGGCAAGTTGAGACAAGGCTGGAATGTTGAACATAACTTTACTAAAAGCTCTGGGGGAAATAAACACAGAGAAGCAGTAACCTAGATATCTAGTTTACAAGATATGGTTTACCCATCTTTCCTCCCTGGCCACTACAGGGATAGCAGCATGGCTGGGCAGAGAGTAGCTTTAATCTTTATCATCCAGGCTCCTCTCTGGGCTCCATAAAGCTCACACCCAGAGAGATGAGGTGCATTCCTTGTTCAGGTAAGGCTCCCACTTGTGGAGTTCTGCGTGTGAACACACTCCATCGCTGGATGATTGGTAGGAGGAACGACCCATCTGGGGAGATGCCACTTATGCAGAGAGAATCAGAACCTAAGTCAGACAGGTTTGTTCATACCAGAGGCATCACTGCACTTGGGTGTGTGTGTGCTTACACAGGGCAGGGCACACTTCCAGCTGCCTTCATCTTCCCCTGTTCCCACCGGGCTCTTTGATTACTTCTGCTTCCACTCATCGACCTGGGTTCTCTCCTTGCTGGTGTCTTAGTCTGCTGGGGCTGCTCTAACAAAATACCATAGACTAGGCGGCTTAAGCAACAGACATTTCTTTCTCACAGCTCTGGAGGCTGGGTGTCCGAGATCAGGGTGCAGCGTGGTTGGGCTCTTGGTGAGGGTCCCCTTTCGGGTTATGTCCTCACACGGCCTTCCTGGGGGCGTGCACGAAGAGAGAGATCTGCTGTCTCTTCACTTTTCTATAAAGGGCTCTAATCCCATCTTGAGGGCTCCACCCTCATGATTTAGTAATTTCCCAAAGGCCCTGCCTCCAAATACCATCACGCTGGGGATTAGCAGTTCAACAAATCAATTTGGGGGACACAGACATTCAGTCTGTAGCACCTAGACTTACCCTTCATTCAAAGCCCGTTCGATGCTCATCTTACTGAGCCCTCTCCTGGCTACTTCTTCCACTGATGCTTTCTAAAGCTTGTCTCTGTCCTCACGTGGCACTAATCGTGTGGCTTTCCTTTAATATTTTGTTTATTTTCCCAGTTAGGTATCTGCTTTTTTATATTCTTATATTATGACTGTGTCAATTTATTTATTTAACAAATAGTTATCACATGCCAGGCACTGTGCTAGATGCTAGGTATTGACTGGAGAGCACGTATAGATGGTCCCT